TAAAAAAAAAAAAAAAAAAAAAACGTCTGACTCTTGGGGCGCCTGGGTGGCTCAGTCGGCTGAGCGTCCGACTTCGGCTCAGGTCACGATGTCGCGGTCTGTGAGTTCGAGCCCCGCGTCAGGCTCTGGGCTGATGGCTCAGAGCCTGGAGCCTGCTTCCAATTCTGTGTCTCCCTCTCTCTCTGCCCCTCCCCCATTCACGCTCTCTCTCTCTCTCAAAAATAAACGTTAAAAAAAAAAAGAAATCAGTAAAAAAAAAAAAAAAAACATCTGACTCTTGATTTTGGCTCAGGTCATGATCTCAATGGTTTGTGAGTTGGAGCCCTGCATCAGGCTGTGCACTGACGGCACAGAGCCTGCTTGGGTTTCTCTCTCCCTCTCTCTGCCCCTCCCCTGCTCATGCTCTCTCTCTCTCTCTCTCAAAATAAATAAAATAAACATAAAAAAAAAAATAAAGTTCCTTTAAGGTAGGCCTGTTTGTATCCCCAGTGTGACACACAGTAGATTCTGTATCAGTTCACTGCTGCTTAATTAAGTAAATCATCATCACTACCCATAAATGTTAAAAAATATTTATTTGGGGAATAAATTGTGCTGAGAGCTATCCTTGGAGATAAAACAAACAAACAAACAACAAAAAACCAAAACCAAAACCAAAACAAACAAAAAAAAAACCCAACCATCCTGAGATGATGCAAAAGGAGGTATTAATGATTTCTGAAACCCTCACCTGATCCACTGATTCTCTTTTGAACCAGAGGCAGGGAACTACACAGTCAAAGGATTGAAGCAAAGAAGACACCTCGAGTTCACTCACAGTCAAGGCACTCCCAGTTCAGCCTTCCTGCAAAAGGTCTGGGTGATGCTGACCACTAGCCTGCTGGCCCTTCAAGGTATGTTCAGAAGAGCCTGAAGCACCTACAATGAGGGTGCTACACCTTTGACACCTGGAGTATCCTCCAGGAGGTGATGGGTGGAAAGGGAGACTAGAGTGGGAGACTGAAATGCTGCTCAAGCCCTGGCCGTCCACAGGAAACCATCAAACCAACACAAGGGCAAAACTGGTCCAAAGGGACTCAAGACTTCATATTACCCAGAGGAAGATGGATGAAACACATTTTCCACTGGATAGGAGGTCAGACCTATTAGGAAAGAAAGCTTGTAGGAGAGGCAAATAAATAAATACAGCTGCCTCTCCCCATTGGACCAACAGCAGGCTACAAGTAAAGGCAAGAGGTATTTCCCTATTAGGTGAAGAACAAGGCAAGAGACAGACTGGGTCTGGAGGTGGGTTGTAGAAGTGCAGCTCCTTGGCAATGGGTGATGGGCAGAGTATATAAACACTTGGAACTGAGTCCTCTGCAGATCACAAATTTCCCTGTTAGGTAACAGAGACTGGAACTCATGATTTGTCATTACATTTTTGTATAATCAGCACTGATGCAGGATTTTGCCTGTCCTTGGCATTCCTAATTCCATTTTATTTAAGCTTTCCTCAAATCAATAACTACCACAGTTCGTGTGCCACCGGAATGTAAGCTCTATAAATGCAAGGACTTTTGTCTCATTTACCCCAACAAAGACAGTACCAGGCACATAGTAAGCTCTTAATAAATTTTTTTAAAAGAAAACTCGGGGCGCCTGGGTGGCGCAGTCGGTTGAGCGTCCGACTTCAGCCAGGTCACGATCTCGCGGTCCGTGAGTTCGAGCCCCGCGTCGGGCTCTGGGCTGATGGCTCGGAGCCTGGAGCCTGTTTCCGATTCTGTGTCTCCCTCTCTCTCTGCCCCTCCCCCGTTCATGCTCTGTCTCTCTCTGTCCCCAAAATAAACGTTGAAAAAAAAATTTAAAAAAAAAATTAAAAATAAATAAATAAATAAATAAAAGAAAACTCATGATGGGTTAGGTTTTACATATGGGGATTCTAACCTCATCTCATTCTTCCGGGCAAACATTCCCTGATCAAGAAACAGGCACAAAGAGATTGTTTCTCCGGTTCATGGGAATTAACACAGGACCTTCTCACTCTAAAACCGTGTGCTCTCAGTAATTACCTACTATATGCTAAGCACCTTCTCTCTCTCCTTTACCACCCTCCCCATTCTGAGATTGCCTCCTCCCGTTTCCAGAAAGAGGACCACCTAGAACTCCCTACTCCAGTCCCTTAACTGCAAAATAGCAAAAGACCTTATCTGTGATCCTTGGCAAGGAGTTGCCAAATGGAAGCCTGTGACAGTTCTCAAGAGGAAACTGGTGAATATCAAGCAGTCTGACCCTTTAGACCGAATTCTTTACTGAATCTAAATTCCCTCAGATGGTCAGGCTACTCTGTCAGTAAAATAAATGTCATTTCTTCATAAATAAAAACTCTGAAAACGAAATTGCAATCTATGACCGCTTACCACCTTTGACTTCCAAGTTATGCTAGAGCAAAGAATCTCTCTGCTTTCCCCCTTTCCAATCGGGTGTTAAGAATGAACTTTTGATAGTTGGTGCCTTTTATCTTTCTCCCCCCAACTCAAGACCTAGCAGAACTACGGAAGAGGCACTGTTCAGGAGGCATCCTTTTGGACACACGTTTTCTCAGGTCCAAAGAGATCACACAGATCAAGTTACCATCTTACACATGATCGAAACGATGATGAGGGAGTTCCCTGGACCTCTGGGCCTCCCTCCGCTCATGAAACCACCTTCAGTGAGTGTCCCTCTCCTAACACTGTGCCAGCCTTTGGTGCTACACATGGAGAATCCACCTGCAACTTTTTGAGTGGCACTGATTTCTTCTTTGATTGCCCTACTTTCCTGCAAAGAGACCTCAAAGGTTGGCATCCTCCCACTTCCACCAAAACCAGCCAGATTTGCTAGAGGACGCAAGTGCAATGTTAGCAATAAGATACAACTCCTATAACCCCTTCCTTCTTTCCTTTCCATTCCCTCCTGAGTCACAAGGACCAAATAATGAATTACATCAGGTATCTAAGTTGTGTGGCAGTAATACCAACTTTCTTTTTTCTTCCTACAGCTTTGTAAGCCTGTGCCAGAAACTTAAAAAAAAAAAAAGTTACAGCAAGATTAGCCTGACTCTGTAGCTTGCTGCCTTTCACATTGCCACATACAGAGAAGAAGACAGCACCGGGAAAGAGATGCTAAATACGCCAAGAATCTGGGGAATAGAAGGTGGGGCAAATGAGCATATTCCTTGACCTGCTCTCCTCACCACCAGATCAAAGCTTTCTTCCCACCCTGTCACCAGTTAAAGAACAGCTGTTACAAAAGTGGATGGTGTACAGTTCTCACTCAAATATTGGATAAGTATGTGTGGTTTTGTGCCCAAGAAAAACGTTTTCCTTCCCCCTCCTCCAACACAGTAAACAAGGAAGCCAAACAAAATGAGAACACCAACTTTTTTGGAAGAGATTTTTATTTGACACTAGAAAGAAGAGAGAAGAAACAGGCAAAGATAGGTAGGAGAAGAAAGCCAGAGCCAGTGACTGACTCAGCACGAAACCAAGGAAATGAAGAGACCCTGGCATTGGGCAGAAGCCCCCCCTCCACCCAGCGCAGCTGAAGGAAGAAACAGCTGTGCGCCAAGCCGCAACACGGAGCATAAGTGCCCAGCTTCAACCATGTTTTTGTCCATCTCTTTGGTCACATCTCTTTCCTTTTAAATAAATGCCCAAAGCAATATTTGCAGCCTTCTCTTTTCTCCTAAAGTCACAAATCCTCTTGTCTTTCTCTCTGGACAGATGGCCTCTTGTCCTAGTTAAGCAAGGAGTGAGAGAAGGAGTTGGGGGGATGGCAGGATATTCCTGACAGGAGAAACTTTGTGAATAAACAGATAGGAACACAGACAATTTAACTGGAGCTAAATGGGAAGCCATCAAAAGCAAACAGACACCTTACCTGTGATCCTTGGCCAGGACCTGCCAAATGTGGGAGCTACGGTTTGTGGGAAGAGGGAGAGAAAAGGCTGAAAAAGATGGGTTAGACCCTTATTAGTGATGGCTTGACCCTCAAACTAAGTAAGGATTTTGGATTTTGTGGCTTATGGAGGTAAAAAGAGGAGGCATGGAGTCAAAACATCTGGATTCAAACTCTGGCTTTGCAATGTACCAGCTCTGTCTGGGTCCTTGGGCCAATGAAATTTTGATATGCTATTTGTTTACTTATCTGTAAATGGGATCTTGCCTACGCTATCTTCTGTTTCCACAGGATCGCTCTGAGGTTCAAATGAGATTCTGGATTTTAAACCTAAAGCCATTTGAATACGGACTGCAAAGTCTCCAAAGCTTTCTCCATTATATTATGTTCACTTTAATCTTTCTCTACCGGTTTTATGTATGTTCTGTGTTTCTAAATTTTAAGCTCACATGGATGACATCTTTTGCTTTTTACTATTCAAAGAATCTTCTGAAATTTCTCAATATTACACAATCACTGGAAATTTCACAAAGAAGCTATGGAAAAAGTTTCACCCATTTTGCTATACTAATATAGGTCACACATAAATATCTGCAAAAGGATACATGATTGCTGCAAAAGCTTGTCAAGACATTCAAGAACGTTAGACTATTAGCTCTGACTTGAACTAAGCAGAATAAGTAAAGCAACAGTAAGTTAGAAGTCTCATTTCTAAAGAATTTGTTTTGTTTATTCTGCTTATCTAAAGATTTGGTTAAAATGGAAATGTGAAATACTTCTATCTTGCCTTCAAAAATTATTGATACCACTGATTTCAAATAAGCCTACAAATTTCCATCCATGAATAGGTCGTTTTCTGAACACACATCTTAACCTCAATCTATAGGAGTGATTCACAACCCATGCATGGAATGTGAACCTCTGTGAGGCCACGGACTTATTACAAGGAATCTACTTCAGCATTACCTTCAGTCTGAATAAATAATACTAGCTTACAAATATTTATATACTATATTTCAACTGGATATAGATTATGGTGTTGCTAATAAAGACAAACTGATTTAAAAGCATTACCGAGGGGTGTCTGGCTGGCTCGGTCAGAACAGCATATGACTTTTGATCTCGGGGTGTGAGTTCAAGCCCTACATGGCGTGTAGAGATTACTTAAATTTAAAAAAACTTAATGAAAAATACTAAAAAAAAAATAAAAGCATTACTGAAATCACAGCAGCTTTTGTTATGTATTTTTTCATTAAAAAATCCTAAAAATACAACAATCATCTTGTTATGAGGAGTCTAATAATTTTTGGACCCTAAAATTGGTACATCTTATTAGAAAAGGTAAAGAACCACAATCCTACACCCCATGAGTCACAAATACGCAGCTGAAACAGGAAAGGCAACAAACATATAGACTCTACTTCCGTGGATACCAACTAAGTGCAATTTGGCAAAACGTTATAAAGTTTGTATGTATATAATCTTAGAGTTGAATGACTATAATTCCATGTATCTGGCAGGTATGAGAGATCAAAACCTCATAATGTCCTTTGGATAAGACAAGGGCTCTAAGTGGATCCTAGAAAATATCTCCACTGTACACAGTCTCCTTTAAACCCTTGGAGCAGCCCTGTGCTTCCCAGGCTGAGTGCTAAGACGCTGACATTACTATAAGCTATACTTTCCCCCCACAGGATGGCCACTTGTGATATATTCCCTCAAGTTCCTGCCTCAGAAGTTACGTGAGAATCATTCTGGAAACTCTCCATATGAGTATGCTTCCTGGGGTGCCTGGGTAGCTCAGTTGGTTGAGTGTCTGACTCTTGATTTTGGCTCAGGTCATGATGCCAGGGTCATGGGATCGAGTCTTGCTTCGGGCTCCACACTCAGTGTGGAGGGTTAGGATTCTATTTCTCTGCCCCTGTCTCCCACTCATACTCTCTCTAAAAAGTAAAATCAAAAAACAAGTGTAGAATTATTAAAAAAAAAAAAAAAAAAGAGTATGCTCTTCTGCTAGTCCCCAAACTCCCAAATCCCTGTTGGTTTATTCTGGTGAAAAGCACTCTTATCTTCCCATGTCCCTACTTCAGAAGCCAAAGAGGGCTTTCCCTCTCATCTGACTATCTATTTACCAGCCCTGCTCCTTCTCCTAACATCTGTCTTCCTTCACAGATGTCAGTGGCCTTTCTAGATCAGCTCTAAAAACTCTGAACAAGGAGGGCACCTGTTGGGATGAGCACCGGGTGTTGTATGGAAACCAATTTCACAATAAATTTCATATTTAAAATAATAATAATAAAAAAACCTCTGAACAGCCCCTCCTTTCAAAAGCCCCAAAGGCTGTTTTGTTGTTGTTTAAAACCAGACACAGGGGCACCTGGGTGGCTCAGTCGGTTAAGCGTCCGACTTCGGCTCAGGTCATGATCTCACAGTCCGTGAGTTCGAGCCCCGCATCGGGCTCTGTGCTGACAGCTCAGAGCCTGGAGCCCATTTCAGATTCTGTGTCTCCCTCTCTCTCTGCCCCTCCCCTGTTCATGCTCTGTCTCTGTCTCAAAAATAAATAAACATTAAAAAAAAATTAAAAAAAACAAAACCAGACACAAAAATAAACATTAAAAAAAAATTAAAAAAAAAAAAAAAAACAAAACCAGACACAAGCTATGATTCCCTCTTGATTAGTTTTTGTTACGACGGACATATTTATAATTTGTATTCCTTGAGGAAAAGAGCATATGGACACCAGGGAGAAAGAAACTGAAGCATGCAGAAGGTCAAGAGAAGTCAATTTTGTATCAATAATGTATTTAAAAAAACTAAAACTAAAAATCAATAGAAAATTGTATTTGTGTTCAACTAATTATACTACAGAAGCAGAGAATGATGAATACTCTTTCCTCAAAGCCATTTTTCCCCTCAACACTTGATGTCTGCCCAAGCCAAACAGTGCCCCACAGCAGAGAACTATGGAAATGCAAGGGTCTGAGGTATGTACAGTGAGAGAACTGGAGTGTGAGGCCCCAGCCCTCTGCTGTACCTCCTAACTTGACCTCAATGGCCACCACAGCCCTTTGTTCCTCTGGTGTGAATGTGCATATATATATCTATCTATCTATATATATATAGATAGATATATCTATGAACACACACACACACACACACACACACACACACACACACACAGAATCTGTTTCTATTAGCTACCTAACCAAAGTGAGAGTTGTTGCGAAAAAGAAACAAATTCTCCCCAGAAAAAGTCCTTCGAACTTGAGAGCTAATTATTGGATCAGAGAGAGTATTGCTCAAAGAAAACATGTAACAAGCACTGGCTTAACTGTTGGACAGCAACTGTTGACAACTAAAATTTCCAATAAGCTAAGGAAGCTATTTAATTCATAGCCATCTCCACATCCCCCACCCAGAGTAATTCCTTTTAATTATAAATCAGAACATTGTAAGGAAAGACTCCAGGAGCTATAGCAACAGGGGCAAGCTGCCATCTGGATCCTCCACGTTTCCCAACTCTTCAGAGAACTAACTGACAGTAGGAGCTTGGAGGGAAACAGAATTTTTGAAGCCAGGTTTATTCCTCCTCCCTGCTCCCAATTTGTTAGCTTAGAAACTTTAAAGACATTGGCGATTCCAGCTAAATGTTCACCACTCTGCCCTTCCCACTTAACTGAGCAGTTCTGTCCAGCCAGAACTGACCCATATGAACGAGAGTTAGACTAACCCCTCGGGGGGAAAACTACCCGAGAAGCGATCATCACTTGGCAGCCAGTAAGGAGTTGTCCTGTATTACTTCCCAACTTCTAAATTTACCAAGCTCTAGGAGATCTCTCCAAAATACTTTTCTTCCCCTCTAATTTCAAATGATAGTGGACAAAGGGAAAATAAATAAAAGACATTTATGAATAAGAAAACAATCTGTTTAGCTCTGCATGGAACCTACAGGCCATTTAGTATGAATGTAAAGGCCTCAAGTAGAAGGACTCAAGATCTGAAACTGCACCTGTTTCCTCTTCTCTTTAACAACCAGGGAGAGCTAAATCTCTCTCCTTGGCTATTAAGACCCCAGACTCCTGAGTCTGTAAAGCGTTCCAACTGGAAAGGAACGAACATCTGAAAAGTCCAGGCTATGTAGCTGTCCACCTTGGGCACTATATCTAAACTGTTTGAAACATTTAAAAGCAAAGCATTCCTGGAAATAAACTCTTAGCCGTAGCCATGTTCTGGTGTGAGACCAATGAATCTACAATGTTTCTTCCTAGAATGGGAGGCATCTCAGATTTCTTCCAGGTTAATTCAGGTTAAGGAAGAAAAATAGATGTATGCTGTACACAGCAAACTGGCTCTCATCCCGTTTACATTTCTTTCACTTTTTAACCCTGGTACTGAGGCCTCTAAGCAAGGCAGACATTTCTGATACAGACACACTGTTTACTTGGCAAAATTTAAGTGGGATGAGTATCACTCTGCTGGGTGCATCATTTCTATTTTTCCTCCTGTGATGGTTAATTTTATGTGTCAACTTGGCTGGGCCAAGGGGTACCTAAATATTTGGTCAAACATTATTCTGGGTGTGTCTGTGAGGGTTTTTTTCTGGTAAGGTTAACATCTGAATAGGTAGACTGATTAGAGCAGACAGACTGCTCTCAGAAAGAACATCAGTGCCAGTGGGCCTCATCCAAACAGTCAAAGGCTCAACTAGAACAAAATGTCTGACGCTTCTGCTAGCAAGGGGGAGCGCCTCTTGCCTGAGTGAGGACACTGGTCTTTTCCTGCCTTTGGACTCAAACTAAAAAGGCTTTTCTTAGTTCTCAAAATTTCCACCAGCTTCTGTACTGGAATTAAACCACTGGCTCTCCTAGTACTCAAGCCTTTGGGAATCGGACTAGAACTACACCATAAGCTGGCTGCTGGATCAAGATCTTGAAAACTTCTTAGTCTCCATAATCACCCAAGCTAATTCCTTATAATAAATTTCTAAGCGTGTGCATGTGCGCGTGCACACACGCACACACACCTTATTGCCCTACTGACTGTTTCTCTGGAGAACGCTACCCTAGTCCACACCTTAACCTAAATTAACCTGGCACTCCAAGATACCTCCTAGGATAAAACACAAAGACTCATTAAGTGGGAGGGGTACAGGAAACAGGAAAAAAAAAAAAAAAAAGCCTCATGCCCTCTATCAGAGCAAAACAAGTGAAGAAAATTTCAGCTGAGACTGACACTATTTGCTATTCTATTAAAAAGGTAATTCCGTACCTACCACTTTGTTTCTGACCCTTTGTGAAATGACTCAGATCTGCTCTTGTTCTCCAGTTTTCTAGCTGAAGTAAAAATACAACGGCCTGTCCTGGCATCTCCAGACTCTTAACAGGGACACAATTATCCTAATTTTTCTGACACAGCAAACGCTGTTCTACTTGAAAACTACCATGTGCTCTGTCAGCACATGGCCTTTCTCCATCTAAGTAGTGGCCATTAAATATTCAGAATATACCTCCTCCCCCCCACCCCAGCTTCTTGACCCTGTCCCCCATTCAAAACTGATGTGCAGTTTGAGGCTACCCATCAATGTGCACAGTAAATAGCTCACGGTCTCCAAAGAAACAATCTCTGCCAAGGTAGGACATGAGAGACGCAGGAGAAAACATCTTTTATTCCCTCTGGGCCCAACCTAAATCATACCTTTGTGGTGACAATTTTAGAGGCAGGCTGTTAATTTAGCAAGCCATTCTCCCACTTTCTCTCTTCCCTCCCCTACATGTTTACCCTCCATCAAAGATATCTCTAACCCCCTTCCTTCACCCCCAAACCAGTGTATGATGGCCAACAAATATTGAGGAAAGAGTCGTAGCCAAGGGAGAGACTCATCAAAGAGTGGCCGTCTTGTTCTGATCATTCCAAACTGTGAAGGGCTGATGTGACCAAACAGGGGCCCCTGTGACATGCACTAACAGTGGTTACATGTCCCCACCATTTCCTTTTGAGACTTTGAAGTTCCAACAACATTCTTGATCGTCTTCATTTATTCAACTTTAAACACTTAAATGCTTCAAAGAGCATGTGCATGTGCAATGAGACATTGTTAGGCTGAAAATCGAAGGCCCACCTCTCCAAGGCCAAGTTGTTTTGGGCATGATCACAATAATCAGTTTGATTCCAAGTACAGCCAGAACCAAGCAGAACAGAAAGATTTCAGAGATGATAAAAAGGGCTTAAAAAAATTAAAATGAGACAATGTGAAATCTCAATTTCTGAAGACCAATGAATTACTAAAAACAGTGAACTGGCTGTAGAAGCAGTAATGAAGTAATTCCTCTTCTGAGGGAAACTATTTTAAGGTCCCCATGACAAAAGGCAGTAAACAATGAGTTGCGGGTCATTTAAAAAAGCTCCAGAACCAAAGATTTCAAATATCTGTCCTTCTGTGCCTGTATCCTGCCCAACTCATTTCCAAAAGGAACCAGAATCAGATTCCCACCAACGTAAGATTTCTAAGATGCGTCATGTTGGCTTCTGCAGAAACTGCACCTTGTGAAGTAGTCTTTAAAAATTAAAATGAGAAAACCAGAGAGTACAACGATAAGCCACTTTCTCCTCCCACCAATTTTTCTTTGATTTTCTGAGGATTCAAAACAAACACAAAATCATTCGTCTCAGATTCCTGAATTAACCTGACCTCACTTGGTGGCTAATGTGGCCAAGAGCAGATGTTTTTGTACAATTAAAACAGGAAGACTTTTTATCAGCAGGACTTTAGGGCTGTGGTTCCACTGTATCTACTATCAAATACACTAATGGTAGGCTGAAGGTTAGATCAGGAAGTGGAAACATCCACTACAAGGTAACATGACAGATGGTGGGACCCTCGCTAGACTTTAAGGTAGAGTGATTCTATTCTGGCAGGGGAAACCCACATAATCAAGTTTCACACTTATAAAAGTATCACTCTGAATTCAGGAATCAGAGGCATTTGGTTGTAGATACAATTCCATCTGTAGATACTAACTTTAAATTGAGAGAAGAAAAAACACTCACTGCATTAATATTATGGGTTGGGGTTTCTTATGCGATTCCTAAATCCACCCACTACTTTTCTGTTTTGATACAATTGACAGCTGTGATAAGAAGACTACCACAGCTGTGGCTCAGATGCGGGCTTTTCAGCTTCAGAAAGTCCATCGGTCGTGTAGCTGGCTGTCACTGCTATATCTGTTGCTTGCAGAGGCCTCAGAGTTCTGGGTTTGCCGAGTAGAGTCCTCACCATTTAAGCTCTTCCTACACACAGGACACGTGTCATGCTGCAACAGAAGGAAATCGGTCCATGTAAACAGCCTGACCTGAGAAGCCAGAGGTGCTAAACACTTAAGAAACCCTAAGAGCTGGCAGGCCGAAAGACAAAAAGGGCATGCACTCTCGCACAGTACACACTGGGCTCAAAGATGGAACACCAGCACATGTTCAAATGGACCTTGAAACAGAAATGACAGAATTCCAGGCCAGGAGCTTAACAACAACTACCACACGTCACCAAACAGAACTAACCACATACGGTGACCTGACATGGTCTACAGCAAGGGTTAGGAAACTTTTTGTGAAGGAACTGGTAATAAATATTTTAGACTTGGCAGGCCATACACAACCACTCAACTCTGCTGAGGCAGCACAAAGGTAGCTGCAGACAATTGGTAAACAAATGAGCATAGCTGTGTTCCAATGAAACTTCCTTTACAAAAACAGGTGGCAGGCCCGAGACCTGTAGGCTGTGGTTTGGTAACCTCTGGTCAGAGAAGTTTCCAAACATAAGAGTGATCTAAAAAACAGTGACGGCACCAGCAGGAGTTAGGAAGGGACTAAAAATCTGCTCTCCTTGGCTCTCTGTTAACCCGGGACCACCTCCCGCCCTGCCCTGCCCCAGAAGATGTGGCTGGCAGAGACAGCCCATCACACATGAGAGCCGGCTGTACTCACCAGTTCTAACCACGGCACAATACAACTGCTGTGGAAAAAGTGGTTGCAGGGTAACTGCCGGACTTCCTCTTCAACTGTGTAATCTTCTTTGCACACTGGACACTCTAAACCCATATCTGTTGGAGGAGGAAATGCCTTCTAAAGTAAGCGAGCAAAAAGAAGGAAGAAAAAACTAGTCCAGAGGAATGCGTAAGAAAAGATACAAAGTGTACCCTAGGTGGAGGTAGGAAGCACAAACTGCGCTTCACCATGGGGGAGGAGCTGGGAGTAGAAAGGGACTTTTGTGAAAAGGAGGATCGACGAACGGGCTTAGTCCAGAAAGGCCTACTTTTCAATATCAAGGCTTGCAAAAAATAAACCGGGGCTTGGATGATCTGTTAAGTAAAACAGGGAAAGCATCTTCCCAGACGTGTGATATCCTTCTGGCAGTTTCTACTCAGGAAACACAGGCAATCTGTCCACTACAACCACGGGATATATCTGAGCAATCTCAGCAGTTCCCAGTCAGTGTCTCAAGCCACTTTAACCCTGCCATTTTCCACATTTCGCGTCCTCTTTCAGAGTGGTTGTCCTAAAGCCCTCTGGACAAGTTAATTAAAAGCTGCACCAGGAGGTGGTGCTGCAGAATTGCAAAGCCCAAGGACAGCTCAGGCTCCAAGTCCAGAGACAAGAAGCCCTCTGTGAGGAAATGGCTACACACTAACCTGGGAGTACCAGGCAGCAAACTCCGGGTCTCCCAAGTCTGGCTAATGATACCAGCTCCTCCTCTCCAATGGCCAGCATGTGCTACATACATGCCCATAGCACTCAAGGGCCCGGAATAATAAGACTACCAAGAGTCACTCCTTCCTCTCCACTCTTATCTAACACCTTTACCTCAATTCCACCTTTTATTTCTTATGACTGCTCCACTGGAACAGCCTCCCAGGAAGTAGGTACCCTTGACCCCAGCCTTCAACCCTCCAAATTTATCCTATGCTTTGCAAGCAGCTCACTTCCCCTAATACTAGCTTCAGAGCAGACCCCCAGCTGGCACCTCAAAATCACCAAATTCAAAATGAAAACCATCACATCACTTCCATCCCCAAACCCCACTAGACCAGGGGTGGGGGTGGGGAGGTGGTTACAAGCCTCCACCCTGATAGATGGCAGCACCGCCTCTTGTAGTTCCTGAGCTGCAAAATCTGACAGTCATCTTTGACCCTTTTCCCTCTTTTATCCCATTAGGCAATCGGTGATGAAAGCCTTTCTTGAAAGTGATATTGAGTCTACCCTTCCCCATCTGTTAGCATTGCCACTGTCACCTGCACCCCGCCTGGATGTTGCAACAGCTCCTTGAATCCCCGTTTCTGCTTTCTTTGCCTTCCAATCTATTTGAGATACTACCTCCAGCCGAATCTTCCCTAAAGAGCACCTAAATTCCCCCAATCCTCCATTTGGGGACCTATAAAACTTGCCTGCTACCTAAAACATCCAGCCCTAACTACTCTGCCAGTTTCAACGTCCGCTCAAACAAGGCCTTTCTACCCAATCATACCTCCCATGCTCCCAAACCAGACTGCATTTCAGGGTTCATCAGGCCACTCTCCTTTTCCCTGGTCCAGACACTATGCCCATGCTGACATTCTCACACTGGTTCATACTCTTCCTTGAACAGAATGACCTCTCTGAGATGGCCTATCCTGTCTTTTAAATCTTCTGACTCTAAACTGGAATTTGTAGTGCAAGAAACTCCCAGTTCGAAATAATGTTCCTTGTCACTAAATTCCTTCAGTGCTTAAAAGTAAAAAAACTGTATCTAATGTACCTGACTGTATCTGACAGAATAAATGTGAAACAAATTCTCAGCCTCCAATTTTTTTTCTCTTCCTCAGTATCATCCACTCAATACTATTTTTGATACTGTTTTTTATGTGTATTCATTTTAAAGAGAGAGAGAGAGAAAGGGAGAGAGACAGAGAGGGAGGGAGACAGGACCCAAGCAGGTTCCGGCTGTCTGCCCCGAGCCCAATGTGGGGCTTGATCTCACCACTGTGAGATCATGACCTAATCTGAAATCAAAAGTCAGATGCTTACCTGACTGAGCCACCCAGGTGCTCCTGTACTGTTTTCTAATCATTTAGTTGAGTTTTGCTTCCCCTAGTAAGTTCTTCAAAAAATCAAGT